ACCCTAAACCCTAAACCCTAAACCCTAGGAGGACAGCAGCAAGTTTAAGAAGACGCCTATAGATATTAAACCCTCCTTACAAACCCTCCAAACCCTAAACCCTAATAGTGTGTGTGAATGTGCATACAAATATATTAGGGTTTAGGGTTTAGGGTTTAGGGTTTAGGGTTTAGGGTTTACGTACCTTTTTGAGTAGGTAGTAGATATGGCCAGTAGCAATACCTAATAATACAGGTACAGCAGCAGCAAGCTGCTGCTGCTGCAGCACATCTGCAGCAGCAAGAAAGAAAGGGAATAAATAATAAGGTATTTGTATATTAAATATAATATTAATTAATGTATTAGGTTTATGTTTACTAAGTAAATATACAGCAGCAGCAGTAAGAGGAGACCCATAGAAGGGCATGCGTAGTGCTGCTGCTGCTGCTGCTAGAAGGAGACACTGCAGCAGCAGGAACTGCAGCAGATGTGCACCACCTGATGCAGCAGCAGCAGCAGCAGCAAAATCTTTTGTATTAGATATAGGCCATTGTCTTTGTAATTCTCTTTGCTGCTGCAGCAGCTGCTGCTGCTGCTGCTGCAGCAAATTACGACGATAAGGAGACAGCTTGTTGGGTTTGCTGCAGGGCTGCTGCAGCAGCGCATGCCTCTCGCTGCCCTCTAGCTGCCTAAATACTTCTGCTGCAGCATAAACCCTAGCAGCAGCAGCAAAGGAGACAGTCCCTTGGTATATTGCTGCTGTTATTATACGCCATACCTCTAGGCTTCTTACTACACGGCCCCAATGCATGCAAAGTGTCTCCTGCTGCAGCAGCAGCGGGGGGTCTCCTGCTGCAGCAAGAGACAGCAGCACAGATCCTGTTAACCAATAACGTGTTATAGGGGGGAGCTGCCTATACACCCCAACTATACCACCTAATATACCCCACACTTTCTTTATATATTCATTCCCTAAGGCACGCTGCAGCAAACCACGCTGCTGCTGCTGCTGCTGCTGCTGCAGATGTACAGACCGACGCCAGCCACCCATAAAAGACAAACAAGGAAGGCTGCGCCGCTGCTGAATAGTTCCTGCTGCTGCTGCTGCTGCTGCTGTTCCTGTTGCTGCTGTTGCTGGTTCTGCTGCTGCTGCTCCTTCTGATGGGGTACAAGAAGATGTAAGGGATGGAACAATCCTGCTGCTAACACCTCCCAATGTTGCTGCTTCTCCTGCTGCTGTTGTTGCTGCTCTTGCTGCTGCTGCTGCTGCTGCTGCTGCTGCGTCTGGAGCTGCAGCAGCAGCAGTAACAGTCGAGCTACCAGTTGGGGCATACCTAGGTCTTACAAACAGGCGGCAACTGCCTTGCTGCAGCAGCAGAAGTAGCAGCAGCAGCAGCAGCAGCAGCAGCAGACGATGCTGCTGCAGCAGCAGCAGCCGCACACGCTGCTGTAGTCGTCCGCGCTGCATGTTGCCTCTGGATCGATGCTGGGATCGGGCGATCCCAGCAGCAACTAGACAGCAACAGCAGCAACTGCTGCAGCAACAGCAGCAGCAGCAGCGGGAGGTGTGGCAGCAGCAACGAGCAGCACCCGCTGCCGCACAACCCGCTGCTGGGGGGCCCCCCTTCAGCAGCGGGTATAGGAGACAACCAGGGAGGGGGCCCCCAATAGAGGGTTTTTATTATAATAAATAAATAAAAGAATAAATTAGATAAGGAATTGAGGTGTACGTACACCCCAATACAGACACAAAGAACAACACTCTTGCTGCCCCCCTTGATGTAAGGGCCCCACGGGGCCCCGCTGCTCTTATAGAGGGAGAAAAGAAACAAAGAAGAAAATTAGGGTTTAGGGTTTAGGGTTTAGGGTTTAGGGTTTAAGGGTTTAGACATACACCTCAAGCCCATAAGGATATGAGACAAATTACTGTGGGGAGTATGAGGGGGCACACAACGTCTGCCTGTTATATCGATGTAGGGCCTAAACCCTAAACCCTAAACCCTAAACCCTAAACCCTAAACCCTAAACCCTAAACCCTTAATTATAAATCCTTAAAATTCAAGACTTAACACTTAATTCTATATCCTAATCCCTAACCCTAAACCCTATTATAAACACTCAATCACCAACTCTCACCCCCCAACCCTAAACCCTAAACCCTAAACCCTAAACCCTAAACCCTAAACCCTAAACCCTAAACCCTCGACCGTAAATTCTAAACCCTAATCCATAAATATTATATGTTACGTACTATAGATATAAGAGGAGACAGATTGTATCTGCGTCTGCCTATCGTGATTATTATTCCTTGTGTCTCTCTCTCTCTCCCCATGGGGAGAGAGGGAGACACAATAAAAAGAGACAAAAGGAGACAGTAAGGGACAAAAGGAGACAAACAGATGCAGGAGACAACAGGCAGAGAGGGCAGTATAGCCAAACAAAACAGGCGGAGACACACATACAAACAGGGGAACAGGGGAAAGGGCAAATATAATATATATATATATATATATATATATAG